AAATATATAAACTATGTTACATGCGTTATATGCGTCTCTAATTATTTTTCCCTAGCAAATTTCAATTGAACCTAAAGCCGCCACGTCAGTTTAATTGATATGCTAATTGATTGACAACTAAGCAAGGTTACTTTTTAATTAATACAAACTTGAGGTTACATCTTTTCAAATGTTTCTCAATTAATATATAGGGGATATTTACTACAAGAAAACACGGTATATTCCGACAGAGGTTCCGACGGATATAAAATCCGTCGGTCATTTTTGACGGTTTTCCGATAGAATTCCGACGAAAAATACACCTTCATCGGAATTTCGTCGGAATATACCGACGACTTTCCAACCAAACGTGGTTCGTCAAAATATACTAACAAAATTTTGACGACATTCCGATCAATTATATAACCGTTGTAGTCGTCGAAAATTTGTCAGTATATTCTAACAAATTTCTAACGACATTCCAATTAATTATATAACCATTATATTTGTCGGAATGTCATCGATATGTTTTGACGAATTTCCGATGAACCTTTTTACCGTTGCCGACAAATACATATGACCGGTTTTATAACCATTGAAATAAGAAAATACCGATGGAATTCCAACGGATATAACCGTTATGGCGTCGAAATTCCATCGGAATGTCTTCGGAATGTTGTAAGCGATTTCCTATAAATGCAATCTTTCCTCATTCAACTCATTCACTTCTCACTCTCTCTTTACTCTCTCTAAGCACAAAAATTTATTGAAAATCATGTCGTTAGAAGTTTATTATTGTTCGTGGATGGATAAACCTCATATGGATCCAAACACCAATTTACTTACGGAAGAATACGTTCAAGGGATTGAAGAATTCATGAAGCTTGTTCAACAGCAACCGGATGCAAAAACCAATATGTTAAGATGTCATGCTTTACTTACAATAATAATAAAATTATAAGATAATTTGATCTTTGGACTCATTTGTATATGAGGGGGTTTTCACGTAATTATAAAGTTTGGTATCTTCATGGGAAAATTGGTTTTGAATATGATAGTACTAGCGAACCTCAGCCTGTTAGCGAACCTCAGCCTGATATTAGGTTAGAAGAACCTAGAACGTATATAGAATATGGTGTAGGTACGGTGTAGATGGTACATGATAATTATAGAGAGGAAGAAGAACCAAATCCCGAATCTAGGAGATTTTTTGACATGTTGGATGTAGGAAAATAATCTTTGTATAAAGATTGTAGAGATGGTCATTCACCCTTATCATCTGCAACTAAATTGATGGGTATCAAGACAGACTATAATTTGGCTGAAGAATGTGTGGATGCGATTACTGATTTTGTCAAAGGTATTCTACCAGAGTATAATCTTGCACCGGGTTCATACTACGAGGGTCAGAAACTTGTTACGGGTCTTCAACTACTGTACAAAGTGATAGATGTCTGTATTGTTAACTGCATGATCTACTGGAGAGCGGATAAAGAACGTGATAAATGAAAATTTTGTAGGAAACCTCGTTATTAGTAGACGAGGGGAAAAGTTCTGATCCCGTTCAAAAGAATGTGGTATTTGCTTTTGACAGAAAGATTGAAGAGGTTATATCAGTGTGAGCGCACATCAAAAGAAATGAGATGACATGCAGAGCATTCCACAAATGGTGAGATTAGACATTCTTCAGATGCGAAGGCTTGGAAACATTTCGAGTCAACATATCCAGAATTTTCGGAAGAGAGAAGAAATGTTTACCTTGGATTATGTATTGATGATTTCAGCCCATTTGGAAAGAATGAAAGATAATATTCTCTATGGCCAGTTACTGTGACACCGTACAACTTACCTCCAAGCTTGTGCATTCAACGAGAGTTTTGTTCCTCTCAATTCTCGTCCCCGGGCCAGAGCATCCTAAGAGATCAATAGATGTGTTTCTTCAACCACTGATACATGAGTTGCAACAACTATGAGCGCACGGTTTTGAGACATATGATGTTTCGTGCAAAGAAAACTTTTATATGCGGACAATACTTATGTGAACAATAAGTGACTTTTCAGCATATGGTATTTTATCCGGACAGACAATACATGGGAGGCTATCATGTCCATATTGTCAAGATGACACATATCCTTTCCGACTAAAGCATGGAAGGAAAACATGTTGGTTTGACTGTCACAGAAGAGTTTTACCACCTTATCATCCATACCTTAGGAGTAAGACTTTGTTTACGAAGAACAAGCAGGTGTTTGATGGTCCACCTGAGGAAGTTAGTGGGGAAGATTTGTGGAAGCAGTTGAGGGATTTTGGTGCATATAGGATGCCAGACGTAGGTGGACATGAAAACATTCGAGTCGATGCGGTTGGAGAGCAACATAACTGGCACAAAAAGAGTATTTTCTGGGATCTGCCATATTGGAAGGATCATCTATTGCGGCATAATTTAGATGTCATGCATATCGAGAAGATCTTTTTCGACAATCTGATGAACACAATCCTTAACATCCAAGGTAAAACGAAGGATACATTGAAGTCAAGGTTGGATTTAGTCGATATTTATGATCGTTCTGAACTTCACGTTGATGAGAACGGTACAACCCCTTTTCCCATTTATCGGTTGGATGGTACTGCAAAAGAAGAGTTCTTTGATTGGATTACAGATAGAGTGAAATTTCCAGACGGTTATGCATCAAATTTGTGGAACTGCGTTGATAGATGCGAATGAAAGTTTACTGGCTTGAAGAATCATGATTATCATGTAATTATGCATCGCCTCCTTCCTGTTTGCTTTTTCCGCACTATTGCCACATAATGTTTATGAAGCAATTGCATGTATCTTATATTTTACATTTTAATTGATTTTTATATTTAACATTAATTATGCTTATATAAACATAATACTTAAGAAAATTTTATCTTTTATCTATAAGTGGTTTTTTCCGCGATTTATGCACTAGAACAGTGACTGCAGAGGGTATTAGTAATCTGAAGGAAAACATACCAGTCATCATATGTAACCTCGAGATATTTCCTCCAACATTCTTTGATGTA